GTGAAGGATTTCCTGGATTAAGTTTCCGTTCAAACACTAAACTTTGCTTTCGTTCCGAGGAAGGATAGGCACCGTGGATTTTTGTTTCCGTGTGTTAAATTCAAGCCACCCCTAGGAAGTCACAGAGACCTAAGTGTCAGGTTTCATCACATCCACCCTGTACCAGAGGAAAGAGCAGTTCACAAGATCGGCTGTACAAATGTTGTAAAGGTTAGTCTAATTAAATTTGTAACATTCTGTAAAATTCCACTTTTTGGTAATTAAGCTATAGAAAAAAAATTTTTGAGTTGATTGTTTATTAAAGTCCAATGAACGATTACCAAAGAGTAGGATAAATTTTTGTGTTTATTTAAATAAGTCCCAGCCCATGCTGGATTAAAAACCGATTACCTGTTGTTGCAATTTTCAAACTGTAGAGGGTGGCCACCCTTTGAGTAAATTAGTCTCACCTGTTAGGATTTTTTATTTAGTTTAGTTGTCATTGTTAAGCTAGTGTTTTTACAAGGAGAAGAGAAGAACTGCTAGATCCCTGTAAATTGTTTGTATCGCTAATCTCATTTCAATATATTATCTATTTGGTTTCAATGTGCCTGTCTTTAACGAAGAACGAGGGGAAGGAAAGGGAGGAGTAGGAGTTGAGGCAGGAGATTGGTAGGCGGCAGGTTAAGGTTTGTTACGCAGTTTCAAAAGAGTTAAAAGCCCACCGATTTGAGTTAGCCGGAGCATTTATTTTTATCGATTGAGCAGCCTGAGAAGAAGACGGTTTTGCTTGCCGGGCGGAACCGATGGTAATCTTCAAATCCAGAAGGAACCCCCGTAGCATAGTAAACGTAACAAACTTGTAAATATGAAAAATGTGAAAGTGGATCTATTTTCTCTCGTCAATATATTCATTTGTTGTATGCAGGGTTGTATGGCAATTTCGTATTTATTATCTGCAAGCAAACAATCTAGAAAATAAAGTTTCAAATTTGATTTTCAGGCAAGAAGGGAAAATGAAACATTTTATTCGAATTATCGTTAAATTCATGTTAGAGCTCGCGGTGGGTCAACGAATTTCTTGGCAGATTTAATTTTGCAATTTCGCAGTTAATTTTATTTAAGACGAGTAAGGGCTGGTCAACCACTTATTGCAATTTCAGTTGCACCTGCACTGTTTATGAATCCGAAATTATAGAATAGAATGTAAAGAATATACGCTAGAGGGAATGACGTGATCTGAAAACAAATTACGATGTAGTATAGGTACTAAAAAGCACAAGATATATTGAACCACCAATATGAATGTAGCAATATGAAACGAAATACGATATTTTGCGTTGTGACGTTTTTGTTGAAATGTGTCTGAATAAGTTAATCTCATTTAGAAAATTCTCGTTTCATGACAGCGACTGATTCCATTTAAACCGCTCAATTTTCCGTGAAAATACTTTAACAATTCGTGTCCTGCCGCCTAAGAAATATAAGAAAAGTTTAAACTCTTTACTTATAAATTCGAAAAGTAACAAATTCATTAAATATAAACTTATTTTAAAATTGCATAAATCTCTTTAGGGTGATAATTATTAAAGTTAGTAGATTTATTATATAAAAAACAAATACATATATTTTCATAAAGTCCTTTCCCTTTTTAGGTAGGTACGTTTGTGTTGTTTAGACCGCACTGTCATCACTATCGTTTGGACTCCAGTGGCCCGAGTCCACAAAATGTTTAAATATGTCTGGCGTTAGATGCATTTCCGGTCATATTTCAAGAATAGTATCCGGTTCCGCCAGACTATCCGAAAGTGAATGGCTGCTGCCCGGAATTGGTTCCGGTAGACCGTCATCTAATACTTCAGTTACTTCCTCAAACCGACTGCTGAAAACAGAAACGGATGTATCAAGAGAGCGCTACAAGCGAAATCTAAGGCAATATTGATATTTGTTCTTCTTGAAAATATTACAGTTTACTGTTTACCTTTCAAAGCTATCGATGTCGCCGTTTAAAAGTCGATCTTTACGTTTACGGCGTCTTCTGCCCTTAAACGAAAGGAGAAAATGGAAAACGGCCAAGGCAATAAGCTGTCCGCCCGCCGCATACGCCAACCATAGTTTGTTGGGCCAAATAAGTGGGATCGCACCTAACGGACCGTAAGCGAGAGTCTTTTTCCAGCCACTTACCCACATGACACCTTGCCAACATCTCCACATCTTGTTGTTTTCGTTCCTATAAAATGCGAATAGGTATCAGCAATTAATTTAACATTAATTACGTAGAGCGGTTTGCCAGCCAAAATTATATCATCTGATATCTCTATTTGGCTGCTTGAAATTGAACTTTTGCAATTTTGTGGCTTAGAAACGGTGGAGAATATTACAATCTTTTAATTAACCGCGATATTTATTAGCCCGTTATGGTGATTGAAGATAAGCAGGATAAATTATGAGCTACTCATTTCAAGAGCAAATTATCTGAAAATTCGGGACATGAATGGGTATAATTTGTAGTTGGACTTTCAGCCCCAGTCCTGCACATTATTTTAATGTCGCCATTCCTTTTTGACGTTTTTATGGATCCATTAAAATGCTTTCATTTTTGGCTTAACGCAATGAAGTGTAGATAAAATGTTAATTTCGAAAATCGAATGTATAAAGTTGAAATTTACATACGTCGATTCGATACGCTCTATGTAATATAAAAACGTAATTTGTCATCATTAAAAATTTTATCCAAACCCCTTATATATTAAGATCTCATTCGGACTTCGTAAAAGTTTTCCTCGAACATTATTCATACAATATCAAACCTTATTAAAAAGTTAACTTCAAATCTTTTTCGTGCGGTTGCCTGAATTCTAATTAAGACGAAGAATGAATTATACTAACAATTACATTTTTCTATGGAGTAAGATAATTTAAGTCCTTTTTAATGAAAAATACAGCTAATATTTACCCTATGAATTTCGTCCGTATGATAATTGATATTTTCGCAATTAGTCATTGAAACATAAATGACAAATGTACAATTACCGAAAAAGTCTCAGCTTTACACGTTTTGTGGTAAGGCTAAGACAAGGTCAATCAAAAACGAGCCTCTAGAACTTAAATTAAAATCCGAAGTCCTCAAAATATTCGCCCTAAGAAAATCCAACCTCCATAAAATTCGAACCTAAGTCGGCTACACACGGCCCGGCAGGCCTGTCAGTTCGCACTGAAAAGTGTGTAGCCGGCTAAGGCCCCATAGATTGTCGATTTTTTCATCAGATTTGCACGACGTGTTGTTATCTAAATAGCCGCCAAATTTTCCTTGGTAACGAATCAAAATACGAATTTCCTAGAGGCAATTTCCCGCGCTGAATCTGCCAGGGTAAGAACAGGTTCTTTTTTGGGGGAAATATTCCAGGAGCGAATTTTTCTACAATCAAACTAATATTTCCGTTGGTGAAATTGAAAAAATTATACTCGTATTTCTTCAAAAAAAATGGGTTTAAGATATATAAAGCCCATGTGACATGGAGGACGGAGGATATACATCCCCAAAGCGTAAGGCTCGCACTTTACCAACCTATGTCACATTGGCAACAGTTCTTGCCATAAATGTAGTGCCTTTCCGTTGTCAAATCGCTATAAACCGAATTATTTATACCAAAAAAGTGAAGCTTTAAATAAATGAATAATAATAATAATAATAAGTGTTCAATGCGCCTTGTGGCGTCAGATTGAGTAACGTGGAGGTCATGCGAAAATAGCATTGTCATCTGGTGTCCAATAGCACTCTCTAACGGAAGATATAGGAAACAATAGTTATGCATGCCTGCTGTTCGAATTGCTCTTTTGTTTGATATAATTTATATTTCAAAAAAGAAAAATATTGCGAATCCTTGAAGCAGGGGTGCTCAAACTTGAACTGCTGACGATCTACCTAAATGTTGTTAGATTCCGATCGATCGACTCTGAGATGCTCCAAGTATGTGCGATTCAGGTTTGTTGTCTACGTAGGTAGGGCATATCGTCGCGCAAAAATAAGTTTATATGGACGTTGCAAAATTTCATACAAGCACTCGTGATCGACCGGTTGATCGCGATCGAGCGTTTGAGGACCCCTGCTTGAAGAAACCCCGATATTCATTTTGGAACACCTGGTACCTACATAATTCTGTCTTAGTTATCCTTTGCTGTAGGTATCTTCCGTACTTATTTCACCACTTGTGACGATCATTAAACTATCACAACTCTCTGGCGCCTACTCTAAATGATGGTAGGTATTCTTGGGCATGTTGTGGGTAATAGACTAGTCACTCTTTGCCTTCAAGCCATTTGCAGAAAATGTTCGTAGTACAACTATTCAGCAAACCAAACCAACATACCTTATAATATCTTCTCTTCTAATCACTAGAATGGTTACTATACCTATTTTCTGCTATATTTTAGTGCACGTGTGAATATTTATGCTTGAAGAATGTAATTATTACAAATATAGGTATTGTTGTGGAAACTTCATGGGGGTGTCGCTTCTTTAGGTTGAAACAATGCTGAAAATGAAAGCGAATAGTGTAAAAATACGTGTTGTTAACGTAATTACGGTCTGAATATAGGAAACAGCACTCAGGACAGCCTGTATGTAACATATTTAAAATTATTTCATACGTGGGAATTTTTTAATTTCAAATAGACACAGAATTGGAAAAATTTGATGATGTTCGTTTCTTATTGTAAATTTAGTCAGTAAATGTTTATTTCATTTCACTCTATTTGTTGTATTTAGTTTGTATGATATATTTAAAACAGTAACATATTTCAAGTTATTTTATACGTGGGAATTGTTTAATTTCAAATAGGGAAATAAGGGAACATTTAATCGCAATTTTTTACGTGAGTTTAAAGTTTCACCTGGTCAGGTGTTGATAAAAAGTTGTTATCGGACAAGAATTAATTGATATTTCGACAAACAGTGTCACGTGCGAGATAACCGCTGCACGTGTTTTATCAGTTCTGGCGGCGTAATTTTCGAGTGTTGTTTGGAATACGAATTGCTTAAATAGAAAGACTCAAGAGTAAGTCATTTTTAACGAGCGTAATTGTGTGGGACCGGTAGTCCAGCTGGCAATGCAATTAAAAAAAAAAGAAACGTACTTGTCCTCATGCGAGTTAAATAATGCAGAAACAAGTTGATATAATATTTGTAACCACTGGAAATATGGCTTTTATTAGCTTAAAGAAATCAACTAGACAATTCAATTAACTTTGACAATAACGATAAATGATTATCAAATGATAACTAGATAAAATATCATATCATTTTCCCCTGTAGAATTTTCTTCTTCTGCAGAATTTTCTGCCCCTGTAGAATTTTCAATTCCACTTTCTACAACAAAGTTTTGAAACCGCGATGGTGGCCTTCTAATTCGAGTAGACCTTCTAACCTCTTGTTCCGTCGAAGATCCATCAGAAGTTTGTAATTCTTGTGAGGCCTCAGTCTCTGAAGTTTCAAGACTAACGTCATCTTCACCCTCGTCAACGTTGTTTGGGAAGGGCGCTAAATGACGATTTGTCACGGTTGACATTTCTCCATTAGCTCTTCTAATTAAAGAGTAGTAAGGATTACTCTCGATAAGTTCAGCTTCTTCTACTACGGGATCAGTCTTTGAGTGACGGACATTCTTTTTTACTGTCCAGGCGTTGAAAGCCATGATGGTAGCGAATCCCCGTTTGGTGATCTTCGAGGGTACGTGAATAGTTTTTCATGTGGCGTAGCATTAATCGATGTACAAAGAAGTGATCGGATACAATGAAGGGACTTCCTCCCAGTTTCCAATTGACAAACTCTTTGAACGTAGACTGAGCTGAATAGTACGCCAAAGTGTTCCGTTCAAACGTTCCACTTGACCATTACCCTGTGGATTGTATGGCGTCGTTTTTGAGGATGCAATGTTTGAGTTTTTTAGGAAATTTTTAAATTCTTCAGACATGAATGAGGTTCCTCTGTCGCTGTGTATGTAAAGAGGCTGGCCAAAAGTGAGAAACAGGTCTTTCAGGCATTTAATGACTGTGGATGAGGTCATATCTTTGCATGGGTAAGCGAAGGGAAATCTGCTATATTCATCGATAATCGATAAAATATATTTATTTGAAGAATTAGAAGGGAGAGGACCTTTAAAATCAATATTAAGGTGTTCGAATGGAGACGTAGCCTTAATTAGTTGACCTTTTGCTTTCAAAAATCTTGGATTAATTTCAGCGCACGTTGGACACAATGCAATCATCTCTTTTACATCATTTGCTGTATACGGTAGGTTTTTAGAGCGTATCCAATGGAACATTCTACTTACTCCAGGATGGCAAAGCGCATTATGAAGCTGTTTTAATTTGTCGGTGTTCATGTACGCACAAACTCGTGACAGAGCGTCTGCTGTTGTGTTTTCCGAACCTGGTCTATATATAATGTCATATTTGTAGCAGGATAGCTCTAGCCTCCAGCGCATTATCTTCTCATTTTTAATCTTGCTATTGTGATTTTGATTCAACATGTACGTTACTGATTTTTGATCCGTAATTAAAAGAAAGTGTTTTCCAATCAGAAAATGTCTCCATTTTTTAAGACTTTCAACAATTGCACAAGCTTCCTTCTCTATTGATGAATGTCGACATTCTGGATTAGAAAGCGTTCGAGAGAAGAAAGCGACTGGACGACCCTTTTGCGTAAGCGTAGCGGCTATAGCAAAATCCGAGGCGTCAGTTTCAACAGTGAAAGTTTCATCATCATCTATTGCTATAAGAGCAGCTTTCTTTATGTCTGATTTAATCTCTTGGAAGCATTTTAGAGCATCAGGCGTTAAAGGAAAACTTGAAACACAAGTTAAAGGTTTTATCTTCTCCGAAAATCTTTCAACCCATTTCGCATAGTGGGCGAACATTCCCAAAGCGCGTTTGAGTTCTGAGGTTTTTAATGGGAGCGGGAAGTTCTAAAAGGGGTTTCAATCTCTCAGCGTCTGGTTTGATTGTGTTATTTTCGACAGTATAGCCAAGTAGATCGATTTTTGTTTTCTTAAAAACACATTTTCTTTCATTTAGTGTTAAGTTATATTTTCTCGCCGCATCCATAAACTTTTTTAGATTACGTTCATGTTCTAACTCATCTTTACCACATACTGTCACGTCATCTAAGTATACAAATGTACCTTCTAGTTTCTCTCTGGTTATGATGAAGTCTAGAGTCCTTTGAAACGC